AGCAACTTCACTTACTCACTCACACTCAATGGGGTTCAGTCCCAGTGGTTTCAAGGCCAGGTTCCTCTATCAAGGCTCTGTCTTTGAAAACAGCTTTGGCCGTTTGCTGATGGGGAGGGCGGTCTGCGATTGCCCAGGCCTGGACCGCAGGTGAAGCAGGTCCAAGCCCTCTCCTTGACTTCTCCCCAACAGGAGAGGATTAAAGGTAGAGGAAACAATGGCACTTACAATTTGGCTTTCCTTCTGAAGTGATTTTTGTGTACGTTTTTCACTTGTGTCTTACATTTTCCCTCCAAAATTTGTCAACTTGAGCCCAGATCTTGCATCCGTAAATCCTAAACTCTTATGAAAACACATAGAATAAGTGAAAACAGATTCTTAAATCAAATTTTGGAATACTACTATAAGCAACCTCCTTTGAAAGTGGAAATATGACTGAGATGCTGTGGAGATTCTAACACGTAGACCTGTGTTCCCTCCCCCTGAATCTGGGCTCTGGGCCCGCTTTGTTCTCAGTTTCTAGACCAGGCCTTAAGAAACCAGTCGCTCCCAATTCCTGTCTCTTGGGATTATGCACTCCTGAAGTCCAATCACGGTGCCCCAGGGATGCCTGGAGAAATTCATATGAAGGAGAACCCAGGCCCCCAAGCCCCAGCCCAGGTTCAGACCCCAGCTGACAGCCAGCACCAGACTCCATCCAAGTCAGGGAGCCATATGTGAAGAGACTCGGAAACAGGCTGTCCCAATGAGCCCTGCCCAAATGGCAGATCTAGGAGCAAAACAAAATATTATTATTGTGGGCTTTAGGGTGATTTGTTACATGGAAATCAGTGAAACTTGTCTGGGTTGGTTTGACCTAGAGAGGCCTTGTATAGAACATAACGCAGAGTATCCTGGTCTGAGCTGAGCGATTTTGTGTCTTCTCTTACATTTGAGTCAAAGAAATGATCTCCTCTTCTGCGAACATGAGTCTCTTCAAGAGGGCCTTGGGTTTACTGTGTGGTCAGCCTGTGTTCTCGTGGTGTGGTCTTACTCAGGTCCCAGAGAAAGGTCATGGTCTCTACAGGATGGAAAGCTATTCAGTGAGATGAGCTGGGTTCCGTTTGGTCAACCAGTCCTCAAGTCCCTGAAGAGCCCACTCGAGGATGGCCTGGAGAATCCCACGGACAGAAGGGTCTGGGATGTCCTGGGATGCTCACGGGACGGTGGGGACATTCCCTTTAAGGAAAGGAGATGAGGTTTGTGACAGAGGATGCTGGAATCCCAAGTTTCCATCATGCCTCCCTGCTTCTTGAGCCTCTTTGATCTCAAGGTGCAAAGGATGTTTGCAGGGACTGGGGTACGCTTCACCTCTCAACAAGGTCAGGTTTTAATGTCACAGTTGGACTTCATCCCCCTCACAAACACTCAGGATTAGGTCCTCGACTGGGCCAAAGCTCAGAGATGGCCTGGACCCATGACCTGAGTGCTGATGACTTCCTTAAGAAAGATTGCATCTTGATAGAGAAAAACATGGGGTTTTCCAGGTGGCAAAGAACCCACCCGTCAATACAGCTGACATGAGAGACGCAGGTTCCATCCCCGGGTCGGGAAGATCCCCTGGAGGAGGGCTTGGCAGCCCACTCCAGTGTCCTGCCTGGAGACTCCGTGGACAGAGGAGCCTGGCGGGCTGCAGTCCGTGGGCTCGCAGAGCCAGACAGGACTGAAGCGACTCGGCAGGCACGCGGGGGAAACATCTAAGTGGTGGTGAGATTCACTTACTACAGGCCCACAGGACCCCGGCTTCGCATAGCGTTTGGGGCGTTTTGGACAGGAGTCTTGCCAGGTCTCAGAGAAGCTGGGGCAGGAAGGAGCAAAGCAGCCAGTGACACGCCGGGTTCGCTCTGCCATGACGGGACTCTTTCCCGGGGGCGGGGGGGGGTTGCCCTTCTGAAGTCCCTCCTGTTGCTCGCAAGTGACTTCATGCATTCGGCAATACAGATCAAGCCCGCGACACAAGAGCTTTTACATACACACACACACACACACACACACACACACTGACACACACAGAGACACACACACACACAGACAGACACACACAGAGACACACAGACGGATGCACACACACAGAGACACACACACAGACACACACACACAGACACACACACACACACACACATACACACACACTGACACACACAGAGACACACACACACACAGACAGACACACACAGAGACACACAGACGGATGCACACACACAGACACACACACACACACACACACACACACACACAGATACACACACACACAGAGACACACAGACGGATGCACACACACAGAGACACACACACCCAAACACACACACAGACACACACACACACACACACATACACTGACACACACAGAGACACACACACACACAGACACAGATACACAGACACAGACACACACACAGACACACACACCCAAACACACACACACACAGACACACACAGAGACACACACACACACAGACACACACAGAGACACACAGACGGATGCACACACACAGACACACACACCCAAACACACACACACATAGACACACACAGACACACACACACACATACACTGACACACACAGACACAGACACACACAGACACACACACCCAAACACACACACACACAGACACACACAGACACACACACACACATACACTGACACACACAGAGACACACACACACACACACACACATACACACACAGACACAGACACACAGACACAGATACACACAGACACACACACACAGACACAGATACACACAGACACACACACAGACACAGACACACACAGATACACACACACAGACACAGACACACACAGGCACACACACACACACACAGATACACACACACACAGACACACACACAGACACACAGACAGATGCACACACACAGAGACACACAGACACACACAGACACACACAGAGAGACATGGCCCCACACACACCCAAACACACACACACATACACACACAGACACACATACACAGACACAGATACACAGACACAGATACACAGACACAGACACACACACACAGACACACACACACACACACAGGCACACACACAGACACACACAGAGAGACATGGCCCCAAAGTACACATTTTCTGAAGCCGAGTCGTGGTTTACACTTCATGTATTTCACATTTCATTTCAGCCTCAGGCCGCCTCAGAGGAGGAGTTTCACCGGCTTGCGCCCTGACGGCAGCAGTCTGGCTTTTCTGGAACCCCCTGCACCGCCCAGGCAGCAGGGAGACCCTCGTCTGTCTGTCTCCCGGCTCTGCCCAAGAGGGGACCCGCGAGCCACTGGCAGGTGGCCGGCGCGCCGCTGGGGACTCCGCCCGCGCAGCGGGGTGTCCGCCGGGCTCAGTTAGCTCGGGCCGGGAGGGCCAGCACCGGGGTGCGGACGCTGCGCCCCCCGCCCGCCGCTGTCGCCCTGGCTGCCCACTCACCAATCCCCCCAGCCCACCCCGTGCCGGGCGCGCCGCTGCCCCTCCGGCAGCCCGCGGAGGGAGGCCGGATCTCCTCGAATTTCAACACAAAGGGAATCCTCGGCCGCAGGAAGTGCATCACCAGGAAGGGGGGTCGGGGCGGGGAAAGGGGGTGCCTGCCTCCGCCCCGACAGCCCGCCCCCCCCCCCGCGGGCCTGGACGTGCCGTGACGACAGCCTCGGGGTCCCCCCGCCGCCCCCGCAGCCGGAGACCTCGGAGGCCGGGTGCCCGCTCTCGCGGCGCGGACCCGCCTCCCCGGGCCGCCCCCGCCTCTGCTCGCGGGCGCCCGCACCTGGGCTGCCCTTGGTGCCCCGGCCCTGGGCCCCCGACTTGCCTCCCGCACCCCTGTCCCTTGCGGAGCTTCCGTGAATGCCCGGCTGCGGGGTCCCGGCGGCGCTGCGCCCCCGAGCGGGGCCAGGCTTCCCGGGCAGGACTCAGGGCGGGAGGGCGTCCCCGGGTCGGCAGGGCGGCGGGGCCCGGAGGGCCCGCTTTCGTTTCCCGGACGCAGGCCGGGGGCGCGGCCGGGCTTGCTAACGGGGCCGCGAGCCTGAGACGTGGGGGCGGCGGGCGAGGCCCCTGCGCCGCGGCCCTTGGTGTTCTCACTGGGCAGCCTCACGGGTGTTTACTTACGTGGCGATTTTCAAATCAATAGCAACAGCAAACTTTTCTAGAAAGGTTTTGTTCCCCTTTCCCCGCAGAGTGGGACCCCGTTCACCGTCCACATAAAAAGCTATTATATCATTTCTTTCCTCTAGCTTAGCAGGGCCTGGGGGGACCGGTGCTCATCCGGGGGCGAGGGGCTGAAGGCTCCGTTTCGGGGCCGGGGATGGGAAGGTGCGGAGACCCCGGCGACGCCTGTGTCCCGGTTGAGAGGCCCGCGGGCCTGGGGAGGGGGCCGCGCGACCCCCTCGGGCGGCCCCCGGGGGCGCTGGCGCGGGGCGCGGCGGGGGCGCCGGGAGGGGCCGGCCCCGGGGTGCGGGCGGCCGGGTACCTGCCCGACCTGTCTCCTCCCCTTCGCCGACACCACACCCACGGGACTCCGGGCTCCCCGGGAGAGGGCCGGCGCGGAACAAAGGGGTCTTTGTTCCCCGGCTCCCGGGGCCGGGAGCGGCGCTCGCTCGCGTCTCCCCGCGCCCCGAGCCTCGCGCAGCCCAGAGCGCCGCCCTCGCGACCCCCGCGCCGGCGGTCAGGGCGCGGCGCCCGGCGGGGAGGGGGCGCGCGGCCGTGGGGGGGGGAGGGCGGGCCAGGCGGCCTCGCCGGGCGGGCCGGGCGCTGCGGGCCGGGCCGGGCGGGCGCCCCGGGGCTGCCCCCGCCAGAGCCGCGCCCCCGCCCTCGCGTCCTCCCGCCGCTCCGAGCGGCCCCTCGCCGGCGCCGGCCCCCTCCCGGCCGGCCCTGCGCTCCCCACTCTGCTTCTTGGCACTTTCCTCCGGAGCCATCCTTCTGCACAAACTTTGATGGAGAATTTCACACCGCGCTGGAAAGATGCCGGTTATGAAGGGATTGCTGGCGCCCCAGAACACCTTCCTGGACACCATCGCCACCCGTTTTGACGGAACGCGTAAGTCTTGCACTTGGATGAGTTGTATATATATATATATATATATATATAATATGTATATATATATATATAATTTTTAAGCGATCTTTTCTCATATAAATTACTTTCGTTCCCACTGTCCATTTTGCACCAGGGCAGAGTGTTTCCTTCGCTTCCTCCCGAGGTGTCTTTTGTGGGGAGAATTTTTTTTTTTTTCAGTGTAGTGTTAACATTTCGGTGTATTTGGCCCCCTTGATTCTTGGGTTTGTAAAGGCTGGAAAAGAATCTGAAGAAAGACCTACATCTGTGTTCACTGTGGGACCCGTAATGCCTCTTTAAAGAATCGGTTTTTATTAATTTTATGGGGTGAAGATGAAAACTGTCCATATTGGTGAATTGCCAATCTATCTAGAGTTTCAAGGCTCCATAGACCGAAGAGCCTGGCGGGCTACAGCCCATGGGGTCGCAAAGAATCGGACACGGCTGAGCGCGACTAACACAACAACAAATTATAGGGAGAGTTTGGAGTGTTCTTTCTCCGTGGAGCTTCATTCCGAGAAGTCTTTTGGATAGGCATGATCCCATCTGAGTTTAAGAAATGCAACTAGAATCAAGATCGCCAAGTGTAAGCTTCCTGTAGAATTGTAAGCGTTGTGAATTGGTCAGAATATCGATTCCTGCTTCTCAGGTAGGATAAAATACCTTTCGATCTGAAAGTACCCTAGCACTCCAGGAGAGACTGTTGTGGAAAGAGATGCTGGGCATTCTAAAGGCTGATCTATCATAAGAGAAAGTTTCAACATATACATATGTATTTTGAGGGCGAAAATCACTGGACGTTTAGCTTGTTTAAGCTTCAGTTTAAAAGCAAAGATATGCCATGTGGCTTCTTGGAGACTTGATCACGTCTGCGAATGGCTCTCTTTCAGTACCACGGTCAGGTCCCCGTTACTTCCGGGCTTGTCAAGCCCTCCTGCTCCGGGGGCGGTTGGTTTTCCTTGCAGTGAGCAGCCTGTGCTTTCGCTCGCAGCAAAAGCTATCACTATGAATACCCACACCGTCCTCCTAGCTTGTGTTGCTTCTGCGTGTTGTGTTTCCCTTTCTGCCTACACACAAGACTCGTAGAAACTCATTTGTTCCAAGGCTTGCCCTGATTCCGGTATCACTTTTTAGGATGACGGCATATTTCTCAGAGTTGGTGTGGAAGCACACATGTAACTATTTTCGCTCCAGTAGTCTGGATACACCGTCTTACTACGGTGGGAAGTAAATCCTGGACTTATGCGCTTCAGGAATAGTTAGGAAAGTTTATGTGAGGGAGAAATGAAATATTTCCTGGATTTTGTTCAGTTTTAATTTTTGATATCCAGCCTACTCGGGGTGGTTGTTGTGAACATTCTTTCCGGTGGTTTTAATCTTTATCTTTAGCCTTTCCCTCCCGTTATGTTCCAGATGTGTCAGGCGGTCTGAGTGAAGAGCAATGCTATTGTCTTAGTCAGATGATAATAAGAGAAAATACCACCGTTCGGCTTTCAAACCCTTACCAATACCATCTTACCCACCACCCAACCTCTACACATCATCACCACTGCCGTCTTCATGCATGATTGCGGTTACTACGATTTATTACATTAGGAACTGATTAGTTTCTAGTGGATGTTATTCTTGAAGTTGAAAATTTAAACCCCTAAGACTTTTGATATTGATTACAGATGCATCTGTTGAAAATGAACTAATTGGGAAACGGTGGTTGCTTATTTCATTGTCATTAAAGTCGAATGGAATGCAGTGTGTTCCCAGCATAGCCCTGGGAATTTCAGAAGGGCTATATTTAGGTATCGGTGGCTAATGAGAGGAGGCTTTGCATCATCTGTAAGAACACCTCTGCCTCTTTCACTATAACATTTGATAAAACAGAGGACATGTAAGAGAAAGAATGGTGTGCTAGTGAATAGCTCTTTTTCTATTTTGACTATGCATTCATGTGAATAAAATAGAAGGTTAGAAGTTTTAAACCTTGTTGGGGAAGACCATCATCACATAACCAGCATTTAGAATAATAGCAGAACTAAAAGTATAGAGGGAGAGCATGCTTGGTCTGTGCTCCAAGGGTCTGTGGAATTCCTGGAGGGGACCACTTGGTGTGAAATCAATCTGAAAATCAGTGGAGCACAGCCTATAATGATACCCCTCATCCCAACAAACCCCACTCGAGGAATGAGGATTCTGTCTTCTCATTTGCACTTCCTTTGAATTACAAGAAGACCTGAATAATCTGAAACTTAAAAAATTACTTTAAGCAAAATTTAGCCACACATTTTGCTGTATCTAGCATCATGGCAAATCATTTTGCCAGCTAAATATTTAGTCTATCTTTTTCTATTTTTTGATGTATTGACATAATTTTATTAAGTATAATTACTATCCCTGAAACTATTTTCCTATGATCATCCTTCGCTCTCTTGACTTTTTTAGAGCAGTCATTTATTTCCTTGGGAAAGATAAAACTACTTGCAAGTTTTAAATTTGCAAAATTACCACTTGCCCAAATAAAAATTATACTGGAGAAAGAGTAATGCTACTGTACTCAAAATGTAGTGTGTTTACTTGGTACATTTTCTGCCTTATTTGTTAGGTATATTTTATAGTCATGTTAACTTCTTACTCTGTTTTATTTTGGGCAATATCATTGAAAAAATAAAAGACCAAACAATAACCCTAGCAAGCCCCCTTAGTTAACCACCATGCAGTATTATTATTATCTTTATTGACTTAATACTGTAGTGGAAAATAATAAATCTTGAAACATCTAAAATTTCTCCCAGGAAAAATTAAATGTATGACAATAAAAGCCTAAAGCATAATCTATAATTTATCAGTTGATGTATTATCACAGAACAACATAAAAGAAGTTAATAATGCTTTTTATCACCTAGTGATACTTTCCCTGGGTTTCCCTGGTGGCTCAGTCAATAAAGAATCCACCTGCAATACAAGAGACCAACTGCGATGCAGGAGACCTGAGTTTGATCCCTCGATCGGGAAGATCCCCTGGAGATAGAAACGACAACCCACTCCAGTATTCTTACCTGGAAAATTCCATGGACAGAGGAGCCTGGTGGGCTACACTCCATGGGGTTGCAAAGAGTCGGACAAGACTGAGCGACTAAACCACCACCAGAGACACTTTATTGTTTGGCATAATAGGCTATTTTTTCTTTTTAATATTTAAGAAGTGACCTCTTTGTCAGGATTGAAAGACAGTAGTGGACTGTCAACTGAAAGTTTTTCCTCATATCCAATGTAATTTTTAACAACTATTGGAAAATATAAATCTTTTCATATAAAACTATCCTAGCATATATTTACTCTTGAAATATGTTCTCCTGGAAAATTGAATGTAAATGAGACTTAAAAAAACTAAGAACTTTGCAAATATTGAATATGTGTACCCCATTTAGGGGGAAAAAGTAACTCCAATGAATTTCTTCAACTCAGCATATAGCCATACTTCTCATTTGAAACAGTTAAACACACACATACACACACACAATTTTAACGTTATGACCTGCATATAGTTTATTTTTATTTTTACACTTTTAATGTACTTAAAAAATTATTTTCAGAGTAGACAATTGCTTTAAGTACATGAATATTACTCTGGACAAAGGGAAGGTATAATAACAGTACACATAAGTGCATATGTTAAAAAATAGTTTTTCAGTGTGACAAATATTTGCCACAGGGTACCATTTGAGAAAAATACATTTTTTTTTGAGTATATGAAACTTTCAAAGAAAAGTGTCCATTTTCAAACAAAGTGGTGCATTAGCCTATATTTTCCGGTCACATCAAAATTTGGCCAGAACACTTTTTTCCCCTTTGGGGTTAGTGAAACAAGGTCAGAGCTCTAAAGGAAGTTGGTAGCCCAGTGGACTCTGTCAAGGAGATTTCAGTCCAAGTATTCAGAAATAATGGTGGTTTAGACACTCATTCGTATTTGCATATGTTTTATGTGTTCCTGCTCAAAGTGGTCCAGCGACATTTGTTACATTGGAATGCTTCCTGTACAAAAGCGGCTCTTAATGGCTTTTCTTTTCGTCTTTATAGTTTCTTCAGAGTATGTAGACCTCATGATATGAGAAGCACAGAGAGAAGGTGCCCAGTGCTGCAGGAAGGGAGCGAAACACAGTGAAAGAGGGGGCACCGGGGGCTTCCTGAGTCTCTTCTGGGCTGCAGTGTGTAAAATATCATCAAAGGCATTTAGCCAATAAGAAGAGTGAGCTCCAACGTGTGTGGGTCTGAACGTAAAAGGCCGTTCCATGGAAACCTTGAGATGCACTCCTGGAGGTCTCCCCACAAACGGCAGTTTATAAAGACTCGTCTGTGTTTTTTACATGCCACCGGTAGTCGCTGTTATTCCCATGCTTTATGTTCGGAGTGCTAGTTCCCGTGTTAGCGTTCTATCTCTGTGCCATGAATCTCCACACACTCAGTGACTTACCTGCTCACATTTCCTTCAGGTCAGGCATCCAGGCAGGGGCTAGCTGGGCCCTGTGCTCGGGGTTTCTAAGGACCACAAGGTGGCAACCAAGTCATCAGCTGGGGCTTGAGGGCCTCCTTCAAGCGCACATGGTTGTTGGAGGAATTTAGTTCCTTGGGGTTTTAGGACTAAGGCCTCTGTTTTCCTGCCAGTCTTCAGCTGGGGACTTTTTTCAGCAGCTGGCTTCCTCTGGGCTCCTGGTACAAAATCCCTCCCCAGGCCCTCTCACACCAGAGCGGCTTACTGCTTCACAATGGAACATAACTCAGCCATAAAAAAGAACTAAATAATGCTGTTAGCAGCAATGTGGGTGGACCTAGAAATCATCATACTGAGTGAAGTAAGCCAGAAAAGGACAACCTTCATATATTTGTCTTATATGTGGGACCTAAAAAAGGATATAAATGAACTTATTTACAAAACAGAAATAGGCTCACTGATATAGAAAAAAAAAATTATGATTACCAAGGGGGAAGGG